AATGTCGGAACATTTCTGTACCTATTTTTTGGATTTCTACTACGTAAGCAACCTTCCCACGTGAATCCTACGCACGGCGTTATAAATGAGGCCCCAGCTGTTTTAGCGCAGTTCTCCAGTGAAGGGGGGGGAGTCTCCCTCCGCAGCCGGTTGGCGTAGTTTTGGCACAATTCCGTTGTACAGACCGACGTTAACAGCAGCCCTGTCTGTGCACACGGAGGCCGACTCTGTCGTCCGGTGATCTAATCGCCTTCTGGAAAAGCTTCACAAGTACGTCGGTACGCAAATGCGCTTTGTGACACAAGTGACGGTACGCATTTCTGATTACGCACATAACCTGCGTACCAGTTATGTGTTACCTGTACTACAGCAAAAGTATTCTCCGTCGGGACTTCCTGCAACAACACCACGCCGTTATCTTGATTCTGATTGGCCAGAAGACATTATCAAAGATGTTCTATTGAGAAGACGATCACTACGTGACAAAAGTTTTCAAAACCGTTTCTGGTCTTCGGTATTTCCAGACAAGTGGCTACTGAAATCAATCTTACTAACTGCTGTCTGTGCAATTTTCTCTGCGAGTTGGCGGACTTTATTTTGCTTACTTTAACATCATTTTTCATGGTGGGGCTAAGCCATTTATTGGTATGGGTGTAGCCTACCCCAGCCATACCCTGGCGATGCCACTGGTGGGATGTATGGGGCGGGCCATTTTGCACATGCGTTAAATGCGTTAAATATTTTAATGCAATTAATTCAAAAAATTAATGACCGCCGTTAACACGATAATTTTGACAGCATTAATTTATATATGTTGAATGTCCTTATTTTTAGCTCTTCTACATAGACTTCTTACAAATCAAGAGATGATGATGGATCAACTCAGTCATTCAGATGACCATGCAGAAAATTCCAGGCGAACCTGCTGGTGGGCCGGATCCCCTTGGCAGGGATATACTGCCGCTAAAAGATATAACCTGCTGGCTCTGGAGAAAACGTCTGAGGAAGAGGCAGACCTTCAAAAACGGTAATAATTGCCCTTACCAACTTAAAAGGATGGGGAACCCAATTTGAAACTATTGTTATATTTTACTTGCCACCTAAGTTGTATGTTGGACAGCAGTGATGCTAAATACCAGCTAAGCGAAAAGGGAAATAATGTTTTTTAATGTTATTTTTTTTTGTTTTGATTAGGTTTATTGTGACTAGTGTTTATATAATGCATGTATCCTTAGCTTTTAAATTATCTTTTTCAGATTACTGCATTGAGTGTCATTGGAGGACTGGACGTTAAGGATTGCGTTTGGCGAGTGATGAAACACTGTTTTGTAATATATAATATAGAAATCAGAGATTTTCACAAGTCTTTTTTTGCAAGTCCAAGTCTCAAGTCTTTGGTCACGAGTCCAAGTCAAGTATCAAGTCTTTGTGGGGTGAGACTTGATCAAGTCTCAAGTCTTTGGTCACGAGTCTCAAGTCTCTAAAAAATAAAAGTCTCATGTCTCTTCTGGTTGTAATAAGCCTTCTATTGTCTGCTGCTATCCAATCTGTTAAGAATACTGCACAGCTATATCTAAGAAATTCAAAGCATTTACTGTATTATTATCACTCCTATATCTATTAGCATACAGTATCAGTACTGATTAGTTTGTTATATGATCACTTTAAACAGGCTATTGCAATGCAATATGAGGAAAAACATCACACTTTAGCTAAATGCAAACAACTTATAAGCAAAACACTTCAGAATCAGAAATCAGTATCACAAATACTTTATTAATCCCCCGCAGGGAAACTGTGTTAAAAGTACTTAAAAGTAAACATTTGTTCTGTGCCATTTGCAACTAAAAAACTATTGCTGCAATATTATCTGAAATATACTGAACTGGTGATATTAAAACATGACCTGTTCCAAAAGAGATATCTACCATTAACACCATTTACCAGCCAAATGCTGGTAAATCATGCAAGTGGCTGGTACTGTATGTTGCATGCACCAGCCAAAAATAACAATGGCAATCTATCTATTCAGTGGCTGGTAAAATTTCAACATTCACTAGGCTAGCCATTTGGCCAGTGGACAAAAATGTTAAAATTTGACCTCTGCAACCGTATTGTTTAATTACACTGCGTCTAGTAGCAAGCTAAGTTAACATTACAGCTGATGCTGAGCTAAACATGTTTGCTAACCGTCCATATGCGTTAATGTGACTGACCTCTCCGGGTGAGTTTTCAAGTGCCTGATGAAATTTGACGTTGTTGCACCAGCATCCTTGATTTTAATATTGCAGACTTTGCAGTGTGCGCTCCTTTTGTTGGTGCCGCCGGCGTTTTGTTCGAAGTTGTTATAGTTGAACCTAATTACAAGCGGTACAGCTGCAGGTGTGCCGCCGGTCGCCATGGTGTTACCATGATGTTACCATGATGTTACCATGATGTTACCATGATGTTAATGTTAATGTTAAAGGTGGGGTAGGTAAGTTTGAGAAACCGGCTCGAGATACACTTTTTGTTATATTCCATGGAATGCTCTTAACATCCCGATAGCAATGAATATCTTAAGTGCTTTGACAAAAAATCCATTAAAAAATGTCATCTGTGGAAGCCGTAATACTGTAAAAAGCACGACCAATTATTTTAGCCGGCCCGGCTATAATAACTGGATAGCCTACCTGCCTGTCAGCCTCCCATCGGGGCACAAACTTATCTCGTGCCCTCAATGTGCACGTTCGTGTGTGTTGGAGGAGGGGCTCAGTAAGGAAGTGGCAGATTTTCTCCGGTTGTGTATTTTCAAATTCTAGCGATCTCGAGCCGGTTTCTCAAACTTACCTACCCCACCTTTAATACGCCAAAAATAGAAAACACAATGATTGTTCACGAGTCCCAAAACACGAGTCCAAGTCGAGTCCGAAGTCTTTTGAGCAGGAGTCCAAGTCAAGTCTGAAGTCTCTGTGTGTGCGACTTAAGTGCGACTCGAGTCCGAGTCACAAACTCGAGTCCCCATCTCTGATAGAAATACATAAGGAATTGTATTTTGTTTCCGGTTTTGTAAGTTTGTTTGTTTTAGTTTCAAAATAGTTTTTTTTGTTTGTGCATTCCTTATAGGCCTTCACGATTCCCATGGGCCCAGTCAAGGAGGTCGATAAATCCATCAATAAAATATCCAGGTTGTTCCCGTGCCAAGATCGTTCATTTTGGTTGAGCAGGGTTAGGTTTAACCCTATGGTTCTACAAGTATTCTGTGCTAGTTCTGTTTTCACAAGAAAATCAATAAAATAAATCTGAAATGTCACTGAGTCTGCAGAAGAGTTTGTTTATTTTTGGGGAGCTAAGCTTTTTTTTAGAATTGCGTGTTTTTTCAAAGTTGCTTTACTATACAGCTATATTGTTTTTGTTTATTATTCTGTTATTTTGGCATGGTTGGATTATATCCCAGTTTTTTTGAAAATGTAATGATGCAGTGGCTAGTTCATCACCAATATTAATAAATTATGATACAGTCATTAAAAAAAAACGTTTGGTTCATCTGTTGTAACTTATTTGAACATTTATTGATGCAACTTTTGGGAGGCCATTTTGACATTTGTATTTACTGTATGTTGAATATTGCTGTTGCAGAATCCACAGTGTCATTGATATTCAGTTACTGAGTCACCAAAGTGTTAATGGCTTTTTAGGGCTAGGTCTGGTTTATTTGGTTCATTCTTGGCTGACATGTGGCCATGCTTTGAACTGCTTGTGGCACAGATCTGGTAAACATCACCCGACCGTCAAAGTGCCATAATTCCATGCAGCATTTGGGCCGGATGAGGATACGGAATGTGGGCCGGATCTGGGCCAGAATGAAAACTAACTGTGGCCCAGATTAGGGCCAATTCTGGTTTATGTGGTTCGTTTTTGGTTGACATGTGGCATTGCTATGGCTTGCTTGTGGCCCAGATCTGGCAAACAGGAGCGGAGTGCCCAAGTGCCATCATTCCATGCGGTATGTGGGCCGGATGAAGGTGTTTTGTGTGGGCCGAATCTGGGCCAAACCTTTTTTGCTATCTGGGAGGGAAACTCTGAAAAAATACAACCGTTGGCTACAAATCAATATATGATTGGTTGATCAAACTGTCAATCCAAACGTACGCTCTCATTCAGTGCAACGGCCAGGGCATTCTATCAAGGATGTAGAATACCTTGGTTGAAGGATATTCTACCCAGAGACCCAGAACAAGATCTGATTGGTTGCTTTCTTTTCTAACACAAAACCACTGAAATGCGTAGTGCATGGTCCGAGAAGGACAAACAAATCAACGTAACACTGTAATATTACAGATCAACAACACAGATACGATACTCATTTATTCATTTTATATACATTTTATTAATATAATTAAATCGATTTTTTGTTTGTTTTATCTGAGTGTTCCAGATTTTTACCCATTTCCGAAAGTAGACAGCAGGAGAAAAGGTTTATGAATAAGGTTGTATAGAGTAAGTTAAATGTACAATATTGTATTGGTTGCTCAAACTCAATGTAATCTCCAATGTAGTTTCATGTTCCCTTTAAAACTGATCGCTAAATTAGGAGGCAACAAATTACTGTTTTAATGTGACTTTTGACAGAGAGTGACAAGAAAAAGGGATTTCACCACAGGCAGAAAGAACCAGGCCTTTTTCTTCTGATGGAAGCTGTTTGGGTATTAATATTTGACCAGATATACGTTATATATTCTAGACATGATTTTGATATGGGTGGACAGCATTGAGTTGGAGTATAGTTTGAGAAGTTTCTTTAGTCATTTAAAACTTTTTTTAAGTGTCAAAACATGTCAACGTTGGACTTCAGACTTAACTGTCAGGAAATGTGCGAGACACTTCTCTTTTAAGAGCCACATCTTCAGCCCATGAGGGGTGTGAGTGATGGAAACCAGACAGATCTCTCTGGTCTGCTAAATTAAAACTAATATTTGAAAACCTATTCATTACACAATGAGCAAATACCTCCAGTCTACCTTTTTGTTGGCAGAGGAGGTCTGCTTGACGGCAAATGGACTGAAAGGGTTTGGATGAAAATGTTCTTCATCATCGACTGTCAGACTTGGGATCGCCGTCATCGGGCGAATAACCCCGGGATTCGTCTGGAAGGAAGGATTCCAAAAGCAAAGACGATTTAATCCTGCTTTGTTAAAGCAATTGCAACAGGATGTTAAACTTGATCATTAAGTGAATAAGTACCTTTTTAGGATTGATCAGCTTTCTATCCACACCAGTTGATGGGTGCAAGCTGCAAACAGAGGCCTGAATAAAACATTTATAAGAAATACATTAACATAATTTATTTAACAAAACGTAAGTACTGATAAAAGGAAGTACTGAAGGTTTTATGTAAAGCCAAGTTAAGGTGTAACATTATCAGGCAGCATCTCAGTTTTGTGAATTTAAACTAGCCGACTCTTACTCACATATTTGGTTTCACGTCCCAGGGTTTTTGTAAATGATGAGTTGTTCTGCTAAAAGTACAAAATAAATATGTGAGAAAAGAAAACAAGGGAGTTGCAAAGCCTTGTATCTCAGCTTTGTGTTTCAGTATAAAAAGAAGAGAATGTTCCCATGGCCCCAAGGTTGCTGAAGTTCTTATTTTTAGTAATTTCTTTGAATATTAGTTATAATTGTATTTGAGCTGTTTAATAACTTTCTGCATGCTGTTGGGGATGTTACAATTACACACTTGTGACATTAACATTGTTTTGCATATACTGTGTTAATACTTTTCTAAAGCATCAAACGTATTAATTAGCATGAAATGAAGCAATATAACAGCTTGGATAGTTTAATGAATTGTACACAGCAAGACATGAGTGAATAATCAATTCTCATATCTAAAAAACGATTCTTCTAAAAAATGTAGACAGGAAAACAACAGCTGTGAGTTTGTGTTACATACTTTAAAGAAACACTCTTTACCTGCAGACCCACATTATTAGTCGATGACCGGGATGTTTTGCTCTTAAAATATGAAAAAATAAACCCATTAAATAACTTTTAATATATCAAAAATCAACATTTGTACATGTTTAATTTCATATCATATAATGAATTGATCTCACTGCTGGAATGGAGTCCGCCAATATCTCATCAATAACGGCATAGAGTTCCTCGGACTGCTGCCGGAGCTCAGCGGGTGAGCACATCTGCAGAAAATAATTGATGTTATTGGACTGTTGTATGATGTGTGCAGTGAAAACCAAAACTGATGTGTGCACTTGTACCTCAGCGTGGGTGTCTGCAACACCTCTCTCAATTGTATCTACCACATTCAGCCTGTCACATGGACTCTCTTCTCTCTCCACCTGCTCGTCTATTGCCTGTGAATGTAAAGCAGAGTGGACAGATTGAGCTCGCTGCCAAGGCCAGGATTATACAGGAGGGTTAGACAACACTGATATCCCCTCCAGACAATTGAGATCCGTCCACTCTGTATTCTGTCTGAGCCCTGCCTCCTCTGCTGCTCTGAATGTACCGTACTGCAGCATTAATGACATCTTTTTACGTCTGATTGGAGTTTTATTAAGGTTTCAAAACCATTAAATTGCTTAACCTATACGCTGCATTATTTATATTTCTGTCAAATATAAATGTAATTGTCTGTGTCTGATTATTGGAAACTTGCCATTCAACTTTTCTTTACTTTTCTTAGTATTTTATTTTACAAAAAAAAGAGCCTTCTTATAATTATACCAAACATTATACCTTTTGACTGATTTGATTCCCATCTCAAATTCCTCACTTGTGCTCCACGGCAACATTTAAGTGCCTGCATCATACAGTAAGGCTTTATACGACAGGATCTCAACACGATAACTAGATTATTCAAATTACATTACATTTCAATTTTAATTTAGCTTTTATCCAAAGTGACGTACAATAAGTGCAGTCAACCGAGGATACAAATTCAGAATAGCAACATTAGCAGATACATTAGCTTTCAATAAGCCAAACCATTTTAAGTGCTGGTGCATTTGCTTCCAATAAGCTTAGTGGTTACTGGGATTAGAGTCAGGTTATTGAACTCACCTGTTGATCCAACAGAAGGGTGTTTGAGGGAATTGCAGCGAGCGATTTGTAGCTTAACTTAATTCTGTGTGTCTGGAATTATTAGAGAGAGAAGGGTAGACAGTGAATACACATTGATTGACATTTCTGCATTATACTAAAAATAGACTTTGTTGAAATTCATCATGTAGCATTTCTTTAGACATGCTTTATCTCACACTGCCACAGGCCACTAATCATGCATAAACAATGAGCCAGGCTCCAGACACCCAACGGGACGAGCATAATGCTGCAGTGTTGTCTGTCTTCCCGCTGCTCAGCTGGATCATGGACGGACTGTAATTGTCTCTAAAGTCCAGTTCAAACTAACTTTTCCGCACTGACAGGCAACCAAACTTGTTGACTGTGTCCCACATTTACTTATATTTCCAGACGAAGTTGGATTCCTGATTAATACTCAGTGTGTTCGCACTACTTGTGTCACTTAACTTCAAGCATGTATGGCTGACCTAGAAAAAGCTTCTGTATCGATTTTCAGATGACGGGTCCCCCCCTGCTTCAACATAGGCCTATGTAATTTCAGATATGTCAATCATTGCAATCCAGCAAACAGATGGAAATCTCTGCAAAGCAAAGATCTATAACAACATGAACAGCAATCTAAAAACAGCTCCACACAGAGAGAACCGCACTTGATATCCAGATATCCAGTGAGTGAAATCTGTTTTTAACAACATAGCCTGTGAGAACACTATGTCACATCTTTAATAATATTATCAGTTTAGACATGCATGTGGCAAGCAGAGTGACTACCTTTCTTTTTTTACCCTCTCTGTCACTGCAGTCGGATATAGCACTCCCTGGCCTCGGGGAGGGCGTGGAGCGCATGGAGAGAGAAGGTGACGGGGTGAAGTCTCTGATTGGTGGAGCAGGGGAGGGCGTAGGCGTGGGGGTGCTTGTGGGTGGCAGCCATCCAGGAAAAGCCATGGCTGTGTAGCGGGAAGGAGACAGACAGTGAGCTCTGTGAAAACGAATTGAAGAGGTTGTGGCACTTTTAGAATCAGGGTAGGTTCTTCCTGGCTCACACCAATCTGTGGTGTTTTGTGCAGGTGGTGATGCTCTGTCACAGAACATTTCGACACTGTCTGATCGTGATTGTGAAGGCTGAACGAGAGGAGGGGATATCAGTTGTCGAGAGAGCGAGTGAAGCTTTGAGGGAGATGAATTTGGTGGAGGATTCCATTGCTGGGGTGCATAGGTCTCTAGCTCATTATTAACTTTAGGGGATGGGGAGATTCGTGTTTTCAGGTTCTGGTCTGAAGGGCCCTTGAGGTACATTTGAGTGTTGATGGGTTTCATCTCAGGCGACTTGGAAATAGACCTGTGTGTGTGTTGCAGCTTTTGGTTTATGTCTTCATGCTTTAAGGGAGGAACAGATTTGAAATTTGAGCAAAATAATGGAGGAGCTCGAGGCAGCACGCTCTTCACTCCAGGGGGTGAAATAACCTGCTGCCATCTAGGCGCACTACTAGTACACATTTTCTCAGAGCGTGTTTCCGCCTCAGTATGAAAGCATGTTCCGCTGGGCTCATTCGACTTCACAGGTGGTGGAGCCGTGGCACATCTATTAGGCTCCCGGTGAACGTGGCTCTGACTATCTATAGACGCTGATGAAGAGAACCGAGATGAAAACTTAAGGGGAATAGAGGCCACACTGGAGGCCGCTGCGCATGCATTACAGAAAGACAGGGTCACAGGGTTAATAGGCCAGCAGGGGGTGTAAGGCCTCTGCAGAGCAGGGGACAGGATAGGAAGACGGCCTTTTCTCAGGATGGCAGTGAGGAGGGAGAGTCGGGTGAGAGGAGGCCGGTGCCGGGGAGGAGGAGGAGGGGACTGGGGACCCACGGAGGAGGAGAGGCTCTCGCAGGATGAAAAACAAGGGGTGTGGATCAGACTAGAGCCAGGAGCAAGAAAGTGTCTCTTTATCTGAATGACACTAGGTGTGAAAGTGCCCGAGCGGACAGATGAGCAGGGAGATACAGTGCGGCTGAGAGAGAATGGAGAGGTGAGAGAGGAAAGCTCCATGGCCGACCAGCTCTTCTCTCTGTCCGAGCCCTCGGAGAGGATGGACTCTCTGGATGAAGCCAGGGTGGGGAACAGGTCTGCCGAGTTGGTTGGGCTCATTCTGTCTTCTGACACAGACGCTATATTTGCAAAGAAACCCGAGCTAACCTCAGCAAGTCCAGAGGTACTGCCATAATGCCGCTGGGAAATGTCCCTGTGTTGATCAACAGCTGTTTCCATAGAGGCAGCGACGGGGTTGGTGGTATTTTCAGAGGGAACACTGACTGACGCAGAGGCTTCAGGTTGAGAGGTGCTCATGTGACCCAGTGCAGGCTGAAAGAACAAAACAGTATTTAATAAATGATAACTGATGTGTGTGTGTGTTTTTTTTCAGTGTTTCATTTGAAATTCTTTAAATCAGCGTGACCAACGTTGGTGCAGAGAAGAGAAACACTTTCATGAATTCAGTATCTGAAACAAACACAATAAACCCATGATAGAGTAGAAACTTAGTATTTCCATTTTAACCTATTATTCTAATTAAAATGTCGATACGTTGGACTGTCACAACCATTTATTTTTCCCTTCTTAAAATGCCTTATGTATGCCAAACTTGTGTGTATAATTGCCCTGCATAGTTACACAGATATAGACATGCAGATATATATATAGTATTACACACAAATGCACATATGTACATTTTAATATGTCAATAACAAAGATTTCTGTCATAGTTTCTGCTTGACATTGACAGTGCTTTTGTTGTACTTACTCGTAGTTTTGTCCCTGCTCCTCCCTCCGTGGAGTCTTTGATAAAGACTTTGAAAATGTCCCTCTGCAACATGGTCTCCCCAGTTGTCTTCTCATGGGACACAGTAAAGTTCTGACAGGAGAAAATAAGGCAAATGTTAAGGAGGAACTGAGCGAGTGAAACCTGAGAAAACTTGAGGTGAACTTTAGCGAGCCTCTCTGAGCTCAGGGGGTGTGTTTGCATGGTTTCATCACATGCCCCACACATATAGTTCACATATACTGCGTGTACATGCCTTGCTGACGGGGGTTGAGTACAAGCCTTAAATGCAGAACAGAGCAACTGAGGAGAAGCCTGCCAATAATTAAACGCCAGCTCTTCTTGGTACTTTATCCTGTGAATTCAAATTCAATTAAATACTATCCAAAACCAAGGGATTAAAGCTGCAAAGCATTACTTTCTGAAAGATAAGAGGTGCTTTTAAAGGGTGTTTAAAGATTATAGAGTCCAGAGTCTGTGTGTGGAATAAGTACAGTATCACTATCAAATAAAAATACCCTTGACTAGGCAGGGCACTTATTTTATTATTTGTCATGTATTGCCTAGTCGAAGAAAGCCTGTTGTATAGGTAATTGAATGTACCCTTTCCAAAGCCCCTCCCCCTTTGGTTATTGTTGCTAGGCCTGTGAAACTTTTATATCTAGCCTGTCACATGCCGTTTTCAGCCAAGAAGGAAATGTTAGCACATTTCTGGAATTGTATGCATTTGAAGCTTTATTTACAATATCATTTGTCGGGGGTTCTATTGTAAACACATAAGGTTTAAGGAACCTAAACTACCTAAGTCTCTGTGCAACAGGTATCAATATAACACATGCCCAAGGCAGAAAAGCTGACTAAAACTAAATAATAGCTACATTATGATTGGTCATGACTCATGAGTTTCAGGGGTGAAAATAATTAATAGGTCGTTTCCACCTTTGATGAAAAGTTACAAGGACAAATTATTTCAGTATACTTTGAAAAAAGGGGGGAAATAAATCCTTAAATCCACTGTATCTTTTTTTGTGTTCAGGGCATTTTTGTTACCAAAAACATTTAAAACGTTATGGTTATAATATCTAAAGAATGAGCTAGACCTACCAGCCTCTCTAAAGATCACCATTTAAAACGCAATCTTCTTTGGCATATCAATCCTGAAACTTAGAACCAGGCCTTTTCTGAATCTGGTCCATATGCTAAATTGATTCAATACCTCTAGGTCAGGGGTGTCAAACTCAAGGCCCGGGGGCCACATCCGGCCCGCGACTTCATTTTATGTGGCCCCGCAAGAGCTTGCAAAGAATGTAATACGTTTATTATACGATTAAATGCCGCTTTACAGAATCAGGTTGCCTATAAACTACATGTCCCACAATGCATCTCGTTTTGTGACATGCGCACTGAAGAGACTTGCAATTATTTGCTTTCATACGTAGTTAATTACTAAGTCATTATCCTATCCAATAATAATCCAATTCAGAGGCAATAATGTAATATAACACATTATTTTATATATATTATATATTTATATGTATATTTATATAGTTACAACCGGCCCTTTGAGTGCAACCATAATGCTGATGTGGCCCGCGATGAAATTGAGTTTGACACCCCTGCTCTAGGTGGTCTTGTCAAATGCATTATATAACAGAGAATGATGGGATTAAACGGATTTAGCAAGATTACCATCATTTATTGCAGTGGTTCCCAAACTTTTTTCCCAAGAGCCCCCCCAAATGACTCCTGTTGCGAAGTTTCTCCACTAGAATATTCCGTTTTTCGGTGCACCAACGGCTGGATCTGCGACAACAACATATTTTTGGCAGCACTGTCCAAATCCGTTCACAGTCTCTGATCCACTAAATCCTTACACATTACAGAGGTGAATTAGGTTCAAAGGTGTAATATCGCGTCTGCGTCATGACGTAATTGTTTACGTCGCCGTTTTTCTCCCTTACTGCTGTCAAACAACATCATGGAGGATTGTGTCGGGTAGTTTTCAATCATACGAAGCCAGATTCAATCAGAACTACTTCTTCAACCTATACTTTTCTAGAATGCCGTGTTGTATCGGTTATCACGTGGTTCAGCGGCATAAACGCCGCTGCAGTGCATTGTGCACCGGAGCTATTCCACTGTCTGTTAACTCACACGCAGCAGTCGTCGTACGCATTCACTGTCCGACTGTCATATAAGCAGCTATAAATATTTCCCATCTGTTAGCGATGTGTTTCATACATGAATTTACGCCGTCGCCATCACAACAACGTCATTAAGGTTCTCTGGCATCCTACAGGTGATGTTGCTTAGCAACAAGCTAATCAATCATCTTGACTACTGTCACTATCATTGCGGCATTAAACCGTTTCCTACACAATAACAGATTCTTAATGCTGCCCGACTGGTAAATATTTCAAGGAGCGGTCGCGTTCTAGTCACTTTGTTCAAGCGCTACTGCTCGTTACAACTCTATTCGCTTTAGCGTAGGCTACTAGCATGACTGGTATTGCTTAGGGTAATCTCGATGACAAGGTCAATGTTCCCCCTTTCTACGCACGGAGATAATGTAATCTTAATAGCGTGCAGGCAAGGCTGGCTCTTCAAAGCAGATATTAACGACGCGCTTTAAGTTCCCATCATCCGTTCAGCGGAAGTCTTTTCAGCCTTAAGCGGGAGTCAAGTAAGGAGAAACTATAATATTAATAGTGTCTCTCCCCAGTTCAATCACCCACTGCCCAGGGAGATCCCCTCATGCGTTGCTTTACGCCATCTAGTGTTCAAATACAACATTACTAACCTATAACCCCGCTCAACTGGGAAGAGAGAAGAAGAAACAAGAAGAGACTCCTCCAGGAGCACAGCGTGCCTAATCATGAGGAACTATAGGCCTAGTCACACACCTGGAGTGCCTAGGCATCACATCAAGCTCATGGTATTAATGTTCCTCTAACCAAACTGCGTGCATCCACATAAACGTCAAGGCGTATACAGCAAACATCTCCAACGAGAATTGCTCTTCCTCACCGTGCAACCGTACTTTGCATGCGGATAATCTTCGGCACGCCATCATCTCCCGTTCTGGACGTGGCATCCGCCGGCCTCACGACGACCGCGGTTTCCCCGTCCCTTAAAGACGTGGATTGCACATCCTCCGTTTTGGGGGGGAATATCAGCATGAGATCATCCGCCATAGCGGCCGCTCAGATTCCACTATCGCTTACACGTTTATTATCACACTCTCTGGATCTAACACTAGCGACCCTCCATCACATTACTTAAGCAAGTTCTCATTAGATCCGGTTTATCACCCCAATTATCTCGGGGCATTCGTTCAGGATAGGCGCAGCTACCTCCGCTGCTAATCAAGGCGTCTCATCCTCATCCCTGCAACAACTCAGACGATGGTCCTCCTCTGCCTTCACATCCTACATCCGCCCGGACATCAGTGCCGTGCTGGCTATCCAAAGGTCCCTCAAACACTAAAAATGGTAATTATGCCTATAACTGGTGGTGGTAATACGTCCGCATGTATACGTGTTAACTGTCAGGCTATGACTCCGGGTCTGCGTACGCTAATCCTGCAAGTGCAGGTTGCGGACGTGGATCCGCGTCACATTTAACCCTGCGAGTGCAGGTTGCGGACATGGGTCTGCGGTAGGTTTAACCCTGCGGGTGCAGGTTGCGGACACAGGTGCGCGTTAGGTTTAACCCTGCGGGTGCAGGTTGCGGACACAGGTCTGCGTCAAGTTTAACCCTGCGAATGCAGGTTGCGGACACAGGTCTGCGTCAGGTTTAACCCTGCGAATGCAGGTTACGGCCAGTGGGTCCGCGCATGTCTAACCCCGCAGCCCGGAAGCGATTCCGGCGCTCATCACGTCCCCATGTTAATCTCTCATTTCATCCATAGATCTCCGCAGCCAGCCGCAAGGTAAGAATTGCTCACAGCTCCGTACTTCATACTTCACTTCTTTTGGGGGTTCATCAGAGCGGTTCTTTCCTTCCTGAATGATCATCCTGCAAACCCGTGGCCTAATCGCCAAAACATCATTACAGTTGTAATACGTCAATCACTATTCCCGCATATCATGTGTCCCGATTATAAACATGTATTTCATAAATCACGTCTCTCCTGATTGAAATGTAGCTCAGCGTAAGTTCAATCAGGAAGACAATATCATCGGGTGTCACACGTTATCTCAATAAGCGATCAGGGGTGTCACGCCCCGGCTAGCCAATCATCGCACCTGCTAACCCCTTAAATCTGCTCTCCCCTCCCTGTCAGTTGTCATTTTAGGCGTCAACGCACAACCCTCCTCCACCCCTTCGCCTCCTGTCTCCTAATACAGGGCCAAGCTGAAACCTTCTCCCTTCAGAACGGACAAACTACTATCACCACCACCAGTGTCTAGACCCCGGGGGGTTCATCAGAGCGGTTCTTTCCCTCCTAAATGATCATCCTGCAAACCCGGGGCCTTATCGCCAAAACATCATTACAGTTACTTGTTGTAATACGTCAATCACTATTCCCGCATATCATGTGTCCCGATTATAAACATGTATTTCATACATCACATCTCTCCTGATTGAACTACTGTCAGAAACTAGATGAATGTGAAGTATTTTGTTAAAGGAGGATGAAAGCGTAATTAAGGAGCACTATTGGAGTGACTTTGATGGTTATTGGACTCAGGATTAATTCATTTGGATTCCCGCTGTATGAAGAAATTAAATGACGGCGCGGAAGTGGAAACAATTCACAAAGGGATTAAACTGTTTAAAACACATGCTCAAAGTAAGCCGGATTTTGCCGATGTGTTTATGGAGATTCAAAAGTCGTAAATAATCTACAAAATGGAGAACGATCTGATCAGAGCAACTGTGACAAATAATCCAACTGAAACCGGCATGGACAATGACTATGTTTTAAAAATGCGCTTATCCAGAAAAGCCCGGTTTGGACACTTTACGGGCAGAAGAAACATTTATATTAAAGAAAGAATTATACATTTCTGTCTTTTTATGCCTTTAATAGCTACTTGAATTGTTATTCAAATTAATTAATCTTTTTTAAATTGTTTATTGTAATGTAGAGACAAGG